TATACTATATATATATATATATATATATATATATATATATATATATATATATATATATATTTTGCTCTTAAATATGCTTTTTCTTAGAATATGTCAATATATATACGTAAAACTAAATAATCGTACGGAATAATCGAACTGTTATACATACGTAAATATAAAATTGTGTGATTTCTACATGTGTATATTTCGATATTCTCGCTGACCTTATCCATTCGGTGAAAATTCAAAGCTCCGACTAATTAGTGCTGTTGGAAATTTCGTTTTACATCCCTGCGTGTCCTTTGACTAGTAATTAGTCGCTTTGTTGCCGCGCGATAGTATCCCGCATAAATTACAGCTTTCACATCCCCCCAGCAAGACATTAAATTTCAGCTAAGCAGAGAAAGTTTTTAAACAAGGCGAACTTTGAATTTTGGAAAGTTTTGAAAAAGGTTGTGGCTACCGTTCAAGCTCACTTTTTCTCATCTAATCTGGTTTCTCCGCGCTAATCTATTTAATCGATCCGTTGTGCATTAAAGTTCATTACATAATACGATATTTACATTTATTTATTTTTTAATTTTTATAATGTGTATTTTTTAATATCCATAAATAGAAAATTACATTATAATTACATTGTAATTGGGTTATGGTTTCTCAGCATGTTTCCATTTAATGATTATTCGCAGTGTTATAAAGAACCTCGGTATTTGTGCATTGTTTAATCATTTTCGCATTTATATCTCATATTCTATTATTTTTACCTCACAGTCTTTAAAGATTTCAATTTTTCGTTTAAAGATAGCACGAAGAGTTTCATATTTACTAGATTCAAACCCTTTTCATCCAACATTTTAATTTCAATTTGTTTCCATTTCAAAAGATTCGTTTCTTTATTTTCAGTCCGAAAGGCAATAAATTGGAAATGTTCGCCGGAGTAAAAAATCAAATGTCCGGCTGGTTGAGCGGCGGCATACCCGGGTTAAGTCGCGGCGCCGGAACTGGCGAGGGTGAAGCTCCGCCACCAACCGAGACGGAAGAAAGCCAGCCACCTCAAGAGACCGAAGCTCCCGCTGCCGAGCAAGTAATAAAGGATGACGATGCAAGCAGGTAAGCGTTAGAATATATTTACATGTTTCATATTTTATTTTGTCGTTGCATATAAAAAATCTCATTTTTATACATATTAGGTGATATTCAGGAAATAAAATATACAAAAAACGAAAGATATATGCAATAATCTTTTTTATATATGAAAAGAATAAAAATTATTTGTATAATTTTATTTTTGTCAAATGTAGATTGTTTAAAAGTGGAAAAAGATTAAAAATCAGAAAATGTTTTCGATTCTACATCTCGATTAGTAAATTTTGTATATCTATATTTTTTCGTTAAAAAAATATATATGATTTTAGAATCATAGAGTAACGTAATATATAAATTTCTCAATTTTCTACGTTTGAATTGCAAATATAACATTATAACAACAATGAAAATATCACGCAAAATTTGAAGTATACTTTGGGAAACGTGAAAGAAATGTGACGTCAATTTAACGCGATACTTGATTATCAAAAGACATTTACTTTATGAAAGTGCTCCATAAAATTGAAACTTTCGGAATTCAATATTTCACATACAACGATCCAATACTGTTACGAGCGGAATACGCTGTTCGATCTTGTTGGATAAACGACGGAATGCACAGGGAAAATATTTTTGCAGTGCAACCGGTGGAGCGGACAGCGGTCCCGCGAGTTTAGAGGGCACCCCGACCGACGACAAGAACGGACAACAGGCTTTCACTGCCGGTAAGTTCTGTGATATTAATATGGATATACTATTCAGCGTGAAGATCGATGGCCGTGTACCGGCGTCGAGGAATCACTTTGAGCACCGTTTACATTATTGTTACGCGAGATTAGAGCGCCTTACATGGTATTTTTCACGAGGCCACCCCGGCGAATCCCGGATATACATATATCACTTTAAACGCGTCAACATACATATATCATCGTTGCAACGTTGCATAAAATAACGTCGCGCTTTTAAGCTGTCTCTGGATCGACAAAATTGAAAGAGCATTTTTCGAATAACTTTTCGCGTGTTATCAGAAATATTGACTTTACCCTTTAACTTTCGTGACACCGCATACGCCGGTTGGATCGGTTGCTTTAAAAAGAAAAACATCCGCATAGATAGTATCTAATTTTCACTGCAATTTTCGGGCGTTCACGCGTACTCACCGTGTCAGAGAAAAATTAATCGGTCCTTTAAACTCCGCGTCCGAAAATTACGGCGAAAAGTTTTAATTAAATCCTCGTCCATAAATATACGGAGATGCTGAGAAGCCTGTGTAAAAATGGCTTATATCAGCACTGATATCGATCATGCGGATTAGTTTTTCTTTGTGTTACAAGAAGATGATTAATGAATCGCATTGCTTTACTATCGATTTAAGACTTGACTCATTAAGACTTGACTCTAAGGGGCACGTTGTATATATTTATCGCGGATAGAATGTGCGTCCCTTGTCTACTCATATTCGATATCCACTATCACTCGTTTCCACTCTACAATAGAAATCTATTTTCCTGGAGCGGCTGCGAAGCAATGTGCATATTCATTGGTAAAATGGCTAACGGCATTTCACGCTTTACGAGCACGAGATTTAGCATGCATGCACTGCGGTTAAATAGCGGAACATCGATTTATGATTGAACGCATCATTAATCGTCATTAATGGTTTTGTTAATCTGCTTTGCTATGTTTTTGAATTCTTTTTAATTTCTCGAAAAAGTTCTTGAAAAGAAGTCCTTAAAAACCTTAAAAAACTTTTGTCTTGAATTTTTTGCGAACACAGCTTTAAACAATATTCGTTTTCTTCTGTTGTTAGAAGCACTGTCGGAGTTTTTGCGCGACATGTACATTTTCAATATTAATCTGTTTAAGTACTCGCAGAATAATAGGAAAACTAATACTTTTTATAATATCTTTTCACGGTTAAAGTATTTTATTATTATTTGAAACAACCTGGGTATTTTTCGAATCGACAAATAATGATCTCTTTTGAAGTAGGTCGTGCTTTGTTACGCTCCGCGGTTTGCAGAGAGAATTCACGCTTCGCATCTCTAAAATTCGCTGTCGCTTGCGCGAGACTCGATATTACGAATTATTTTGCTCTTCAATGGAAATATATCATTATACTAATGTTGTAAGAATCTTGTCGTTGTTATTTTTTTTTTTTTTTGAATTTACACATTTTATTATTCCTCGATCCTTTTCTTTCATACAACGCGAGTCGATGTACTTCGCGTAACGATCATATATCATTCCGTGGGAGAACATAGAATTCTTTCAGAGAGAAAATGTTTATAATGGAGTTCAGTAACACAAGAGGAAATGCTAGCATACGTTTTATCGGGCAAGGAAAAGAGTCGTGCAATAAGTTTTGTGGAAACGAGCGAAATATTCCTGAAATCTCAGCACATCAACGTGTGCTACCGCGACTCTTTACTTCGCGAATAAAATATACTCGTATTTGTCCGAATCTGAAACATACTTTTTTCTATAAGTAGTTTTGTATGCATAATGCATTTCATGAAATTTCTAGAGAAAAATGCAAAAGCAACGACATTTGCAATTTTGTTGAGTATTTATGTCAATTTAAATCGAAACTCAGAATTTTTATTCACATTTTACTTTTATTTCTGTCCATTTTGTTATTGTTTGAATATCTCTGATGCAAGTTGCGTAGGATAAATTTTCTCGTATTGCAATATTATTTGTTCTATTTTATTTTTCAAGATTGAAATAAAATTTTACTATAATCATTATAACGTGGATTTAATAGCGATTTCCGTGGAAAAATATTTTATATAATGGAGCATACCGATATTTTTACGTTATTCGCATTTCATATGCGAGTTTCATACGTGATACAAATTTGTGAGTTAAAATTCCTTCAAATTACGTTTATACTGTTTGCACAATTGCAAATTAATTTGCTTGGGTTGCCGGTCCTTTGATTATGCACATCATTGAATCGTCCAGTGGGTTCGCAGAAAATTCAATTTCTGCCGCGAGCGGTTATCTGTGCTCACACACACATGATACGGCGTATCTTCCTTCATTCTCCCAGAAATTGCTCTTGTATCATTCATGTGCCCTTTATTTCGCGAATTTTTTTGTACACTGGTCCGGGAGTATTCTCTGTCGGCGGAGATACGATACTCCCAAATTATACGTGCCCTTTGCGCGATATATTTCTTTTTTTAGGAAAAGTGTTTTTCTGGATCCGAGAAAATAGCGTGTAATAATAGTAACGTGTACTGCGCCTTTTCTAGCAGTTTTAAATAATTGAAGGGACGATATGGGATGTTGCATTAAAGACTCAGATACGGCCCGCTACACTTTAAAGTACAGCTCTTTTTACTTCTTGTAGGACTACATAAATACGCCGCGCGCGTGCTTGTGGAATAAATCGTATATAATGCTCGTTTAAATATTCCTGGTTTATTTTATCCACGGCGCAGACTAGGGAACAGCGAAAAACGTTATTTCCATATTTCCTTTTGGGAATCATCTCTGTATTTCTCAAATATTCAGCGTGTCGAAGATTTCTCGCGGGTTCTGTTGTTATATGATTTTTATTTTCCGCGCGATCGAGTATCTCTTTTAACCAGTTATCTGTTGTAACAATATTTTGATCATCGTTCGCTTTGCGGGCATTTCAGTGAGTCATTTTTTTCGTTCAACACGGCGTTTTCTCGTTCTGCGTACAACGTGACTGAACGTTTACAATGGTATTATCGGAAATCGCGCTTCCATCACTACTCCGCCGGTCTTGCGGACAAAGGGCAGGTTGGAGAGGCAAATGGTTAAGTACCGCCGTTCGAGAGAAATTTTCCCTCGAATATCTTCTTTTCTGTATTCTCCGGCAGCGCAAAAAAAAAAAAAACGTAGCGGATGAGTCGGGACGCTCAAACATCAACAGGGCAGCTCGGTATATTTGATCGTCTTGAAAATGTTGCCCAGAGATCGACCGAAACGGAATACTTGACAAAGAGTAAAAGGGCGAGACACGGTATATTCGAAAATCTCCCGTGCTCCAAGACACGTTCCACGTAAATATGTTATTTAAGTGAGCGTCATTTGAAAAATTCACAGTGCATGAGCACGAACTATAATCGGAGCAAATACCTTTGCCTTTATTCATCGGAGCAAATAGATTCGTCACCATGGATTTTGCGATGCGTTGTTTTGCGCAAACAAAACACAACACGGCATTGTGTTGGCACCCATCGATCGCGCCGAGGCATCGGTCCATGAAATCTGCACTTCGGTACGCAGAAATTCTGGCACGTACGTCGCAGCATACAGTAATCATATGGTGCAATTGATTGTGAAATCCCCATATACAACATTTACATAATATAAACAGTAAAATATTCATGTAGCAGCTGCGAAAGTCGTGCTGTAAGTCGAAAAATGGAAAAAATTTATTTAGTGTTCGTAAATTTTTAAATATTCAAATAAAAGGGACGTTTTGGGCGCGTTTTCGATTTCCAAATGCGCCGAATTCTAAATTCTAAGCCCGGTTGTTTCTCAAGTTAACGACTTCTAACGCGCAGTTACAGAACAGGGATGTCTGTCGTCGACATCGCCATTACTATCGCGAAAGCTGCTCGTTGTGAATGAGCAATCACTACACAAAAGTGCAATTTCCGCATCAGCTGCCTGGGAAGCATCGGAAATACAAATCAAGAAAGTTTCAAGTCCCGTAGCGGATAAACGGATCCGCTACTCTCGACCTTGCCTCCTTTTTTTTCTGTCAATCTCGCGACGTCGCAATATTTCTTCATCCGCTATCCCGGTGTGAATTGAGCGAAGATTAATAAGATAGAGAGTGCGAAGCTGAGTGAAAGAGGAAAGAAACGGGCTCGATGGGTTCGTCCTTGACCCGCGATATACATACGTAAGGTGCTTACTTAGTCGAGTAGCTTCGATATCAGATGAGTTATCGAAAAAATATCTATATGTATATTTAAATGAAATTAAATAACTACTACGAATACGAAATATCCGATCGATTGCGTATTACTATTTCCATTTCGCTATCTGCAGCTGGCAACACAAATAATTTCTCTCGATTTGCAACGAAAACTGCGTTTGTGAAAGCTTCTACGTTCTCGATACGCGAATATTCGGAGATTTAACAATCGATTCGCCGGGCTCTGCCGCTTGACTACACATTAATCAGCAAAGTAAAAGTGCACACTGCGAGTGTTCCCATCGAGCGAGTACCAATCGCGGTGCGCAGATTAATTTCGCGGGGATTAAAAGAGAAATAGAGATGGCGAGTGAAAGAGAAAGGACGGGCATGGCGGAGCGGCGGCCGGGGGGGCTGGTTTGTGCAAACGGGTGGAAGAAAAGCGGTCGTTGCGTGTGTCCTTGGCCCGTGGCGGACCAGACACCTAGATCCTGCGGCGCTGGGCTTCGTCGATCCTGAACAAACCGCGCCGCGGAGAAGGAGTATCAAGGTCATTAGAAGCGTGTCCCATCTCCCGCGTGCCGCGCCCGTCGTTCACCCGCTGATGATGTGGGAAAAAGTGGGTGACTGGGTGGATCTCAGCCGTTCCGAAATGTTGCCGCGACTCGAAACGCTCGTCGACTCGAATATAACCAAAGATCCAGTCAGCAAGTAGTCGTCCTTCGCGTCGTCGAGGGGTTGGACCCCATCTTCGTCGATCAATACGACCCGCCTCTCCCTTCCTCTCCTCTAACTCTTCCTTCCTTCCCTTCTCGGAAA